TTGCTGTGCTTTACTTCATAATGACGCTTCTAGCTTCAGTCGTTGTAATTCCCACCAAACACTGTAAGTATTTCCTCTTTCCTGGTGAGCATGGGGGTGTGGGGGGTGGTGGGATATGCTGGTAAGAGTACATGATTCAGTTGTCAGGATTAAAACTTCCCTGCTGTCCATCCCCCAGGGAGGAGGTTATACATAGATCCTTGTAATTGGTTCCCCCTTTCTACCCCACCTTCCCTCCACCCAGTGGTATCACCACTCTCACCACTGGTCCTGAAGGGATCATCCGTCCTGGATTCCCTGTGTTTCCAGTTCCTATCGCTACCGGTGTACATCCTCTGGTCTAACTGGATTTGTAAGGTAGAATTGGGATCATGATAGTGGTGGGGAGGAAGCATTTAAGAACTAGAGGAAAGTTGTATGTTTCATCATTGCTGCACTGCACCCTGACTGGCTCATCTCCCCTCTCTGCGACCCTTCTGTAAGGGGATATCCAGTTGCCTACAGATGGGCTTTGGGTCTCCACTCTTGCAGTCCCCCTCATTCACAATGATATGATTCTTTGTTCTTTGACTCCTGACACCTGATCCCTTCAACACCTCGTGATCACACAGACTGGTGTGCTTCTTCCATGTGGGATTTGTTGCTTCTGAGCTAGATGGATGCTTGTTTACTTTCAAGCTCTTAAGACCCCAGATGCTATATCTTTTGGTAGCTGGGCACCATCAGCTTTCTTCACCACATTTGCTTATGCACTCACTTTGTGTTCAGTGATTGTGTTGGAATGCCAGTTTAATAGAACAAAGTGTTCTTGTATTGAGGGAGTACTTGAGTGGAGGTCCAATATCCATCTTCTACCTTAATACTAAACCTATAAATATGTGCACAAAAATCTATTTCCCATCATCATATACAAATATATTTACAAATGTACATGCCTGTATTTAGACCTCTATAAATGCCCTTTGCCTCTTGTAGGCCACTGGACATCCCCTTATAGAAGGGTTTCAGGGAGGAGATGAGCCAGTCAGGGTGCGATGTACCAACGATGAAAAATACAACTTTCCTCTAGTTCCTAAATGCTTCCT